ACAAAATGACCCACATACATTCACATACATACCTGTATCATCCGTCATCTGCCCTTCCACAACCTCCAAACACACACACACACACGAATATCCAACACGATAACACACCATGACAACATATTAACTCCGCCATTCACAGAACAAATATCACTCATCGCTTCAGAGAACTTAAATAATATTCACCAACCTAAAATTACCTACATCATCAAGTAACACTTCTAGTCTCCTCACTCATCTACAGATATCTCCCCCACTATCCAACATCCTCACTCTCTATTGTCTTCAGAATTAATGAAATGCAGGCGACGGTGATTTATTTCTATTTTTTCGATTTTTCTCCAAGTTGGCGAATTTGTGAGCATATATTTATATATGCATGACAGGAAGAATTTTGTGCTCAATACGTACAAGGTAACCTGAGTTTTAGAATCTGTTGATGTCTAACCTTTGATAATAACTTTTACTGTGCTACTTATGTATATTTTCTCATAAATTTTTAGGTTGTTCCTTTAATGGTACTTTTGCGAAACATCTGGTATCAGGTTTTCTAAATATTACTTTTTTACGCCAATTTTATGTAACTTCGCTAAATATCAAGGGAGTATGCGGCTAGTACACACTGATATTGTAAATTTGCAGAAACAACTATAAACTATGTGGAGTAATTTTACTATCTGAAGAAAACTGCACATTTCACTTATTGCAAATACTGTCATAACTTTGTACCAATCAGTCGGAAAAGAAACTTAATTAGATCTCTTGCCACTCGCGTCCAACACATCTGCAGCTCTGATACCATGGAAGAAGAACTAAACTTCCTGAAAGAAACCTTCATACAATAAACAGTTACCCATCAAGATTTGTGGACAAAAACATCAAACAAAAAATCCAAAAGCAAGAAACAGCATCTGTGCCAAAAAAGATACTTTATATGAACCTCGACTTCAAAGGAGACCTACTCAGTGACGTCCTTAGGAGGAGAATCTCCACCTCTTTAAGAAGAACTCTCTTTGCCGCAACATTGAGAGTAGTCTTTTCTAGTCGCCCACTGATCTGCAGAAGCCCAAAAGACAAGATCTCGCACCTGACAACTTCTATGTGTATATATCAGTTCACCTGTTGCTGTGGAGCCAGGTACATTGGTCGTTCAACGCGTATCCCGTCAAAAAGGGTCAAAGAACACTATCCAGCGTGGCTACAGAAAGGAAAAAATGGCCGTATAAGGAGTGCAGTAATAGAACACCTCGTCAACACTGGTCATTCCATCTCAACAAACGCCTCCTTGGAAGTAATTTAAAAAGTGAAGAACAACCTTTCAAAGACAATACGATTCCGTCTTCTTTGCATCGCAGAAGCCCTAGCCATCAAACTAGAGGAACCAGAACTGTGCATACAAAAGAAAATTATTCAACCACTTCTACCATCATGGTAACAACTCTGTTGATTTGACTTAACTTTTGCTTGTATGCTTATTTTTCTACTTAAAACCCTTGTGTAATTACGTATGTTATTTTGTTTCCATGTACACCCTGAGTACAACTCTTTCATCAAACTATTCATGTGATTACGCAACTCTTCTTCAACTATCGTTTGTGACAACTCATCACTTTTGTTACTACTCTCTTGTATCAACATCCAATTCATCTGAACTTACTAACTGAATTTTCGTTTGGCAAATTTAATGTACACACATCCAAATACGTAACAACCATATATATTTGCGATTGTACTTTTATGAAAATGAATTCGCCGAAAAGAGACTCTCCGCTGAACTACTCGTCTTCTGTCTATTAATGTTCGAATGGGAATTTTTCATGAATTTGTAATAACTGTTTATTTTAGAATTGATCCCAATATTTGTCTTAAATAGTTAGATTCACAAGTATATGACTTTATAAATTAAGAACGCTATCATAGAAAATTTGCTTTATTGCATTCATGTGAGGGCTTCGTTACTTTGAAATTAGTTTGGACATCCACTGTTCTCGGAATAAGGAATAAAATGTGAATCTTCAACATCAATATCAAAACAGTGCTTCAATAGTCTACAGACTTGGTGTGCGTGTCATAAAGTGCAGTTCCAACAGGTTGCTGCAGACTTTCATCAACACCTTCTTCCCCTGAATACTGAAGATCAGATGGCCAGCGAGAAAGAACACACACATCAAGAAGCTTTGGTAGCGGACCAGCCAACAACCTAATACTGAAAACATATGCATCAGAAGATGGTGTTTAGATTGACCATACTCTGAGGCGACCGTCGTGTGATGTCAATCGCCAAGTAGACCCTCGACTAGAGCCTGAACGGAAAACGATGAAGTGTGCATGATGCAAAGACGATATCATCGAAGTCATAGAGTAGAATATTAGAGACAAGAACAGTCACGGAGCCAGCTGAAATAGACTACAGCAAACTGAGTAAACTGGCGACATGCTGCTGAAGCTCTACCTTCCACCGGGAGCAGAAATTAAATCTGGATTTTCCGCTGTGTGGGAAAATAACTTAGGTCAATTTTGAAGTAGGTTTATTCAGTCGACAACTGAAAACACTTAGTGTGCTAAACAAAATCACGGAATCTTCGGGATCAAGTTTTAAAGTTGTGATAAAGGTACCAGAGGTTGACTCCTTTCCATATTGAGTTTTGTGTCAGGTTTAATAATACTTAAAGTTTAAATATATTATAGTTTGAAAATAATTCATGTCCCATGACACAGATCATTGTTCAGTATTTGATAAGCCAGCTTAAACAACCAACGTACTACTTGTCTCTGGAAGATATGTCGTAATGAAAACAAATAAGCAATTTTTTGTTCTATATAAAATTTATTAACTCTGTTAATCACAGCATATATGATTCATTTAAAGTAATTATTGAAATGTTATAGAAGGTCCCTTGATGGTTTCATCCTTCCCAGTTCATGTCTGAAAAAAAGTAGCGTATTTATCAAAGGTAAACAAATGGAATTCTAGTATACAGTACTTTTATTTTAGAAAAAAGCATTTCAAAAACATCTTATTGGATCCACTGAAATGAATCCAGGCGTATCTATATATATTCTGAGAAATTTATTCTCTGATGATTAGGAATCATTATTTGGTATCTCTAAATTTTATGAAGCTATAATTTCGGTATTGAAGTTTTCGAAGCCTAATAATTGTCAAATTTAAACTAAAGCCCTTTGCAGTATATCTTGCTTATGCGTGCTGAATGTCTTCATATTCGTAGTCCTAGGTCAAACCATGTAAGCATGTGGATTTTCCTTCAGCAACCTACGAAATTCAGTGCTCTTTCAGGGCAACCGGTTCTGGAGAAGACGTTGAACTATAATATACTCTTAACTTCATTGAAAATACCGCCATCGTTTAAATTTCATTGACAACAGTTGCTTTCTCATCTGTAATATCTATGCCTTGCTTACACTCACAGGAAAATGTGTAGAATTATTGGTTTGGAGACTTGATTTTCAAAATTAGGTAGAGTAATAGTTAAGAAGGGTAAATCAATCTATGAATTTGTAAATCTACATGAAGTGAGACGGCTAGGGCACATGTTACGCGTGCTGAGCCATCGCCTTCTTCATCCAGCAATGTTAGCTAGCTGACATAGGGCTAGGTCAGGAAAGAGTAAGGTGTGGTCAAACTGAAACCTGCAATCAGTCCATCAATCTTTGAAAGTTAGTTTGAGACATGTAAGGAGGTATAGACTAACTGGTGAAGTTTTCGGAATGCTACAGACCGATGGTTGGAGACTATTGGTGAGATGGCTTAAAGTTGTTCTCAATGGTGTAGATGCATTCACTCTTTTCGACCTCCCAAATCCATCAAACTTTGGTGTTTTTACTTGTTATTCTTCTTTCTTCCGTATATTTCTGCTCCTTACAGCTCCTCGGAAACTCTTTTTCCTTATTTTTCTCTACTTTTATGTGCTAAGTGGAATGTGGTAACTTCAACTGCTGCACATCTATGCAAAGTTCTATACTGAAACTCAGTGAGAGGCCGAAGAAAGGAAAAAAATCCGAAGAAGTAGGAGGATAAATTAAATGCAGCAAACTTTCTTTTAGTCATATTTCCCTAAATGTACTTAATCCGCAGCACCATTTACCATCGTAAAACTTTACGTTTTTTAACTTGGGAGTTCAATAGTGAAGTAAATAGAATAAATTCGAACCTATTTGTAGCGCAGCATAATTAATTATGTAAGTAGTTTTATCTCATATTCAAAAAACTCATTTCTGTGTTTTAATTCTAACTTCAGAGAAGGTTCACTTCATTTATATATCAGCCAGAAATTTGGATATATATATAATTTGAAGTTCACTGAGAAATTAATATTCTGCAGTTTTTGAAAATGACTACCAAGCTCACACATAAAGGCAGTTTATTTAAGTAACATTTTGGAAATTACAATTCCTAATATGTGTGACATAACTGTGCATCTAGTCAGCTGAAGAAATGATACGAAGTAGCATTAAAGCAATTGTAGAAATTGAGGACTTTGAAAGAATGTAATTCTATACTAGACAAGTAGAATTGACATGATTGTGAGCGATAAATTGTGCTCGAAACATCATCCAGTAGTTGGTACTGCATCACTAAATGTTGCACCGGATAAGCTTATCTAATATGAAATGATGCGAGGAAAAAGTATTTAACAATGTTGCATTATCTAAACATCCGTTTCCAACTCCCTGATGGCTACTACATGCATATCTTGAAGCTTTACTGAGAACTCGTGACCAGTGGGGTCCACCATACCTAAGCGAAGGGAATTTTCATTGAAAGTATTGATTGGGATAGTGATATATCGTTAGTGAATTCCTGCCCAAGCGTCTGAATAGGTCAACGAACTTAGTCTCATAAGCTGAATGACTCAGGTTCCTCTACCATCCAAAAATTCACTCAAAGTATGAATATGAATTTGAAGCAAAAATATTTAAATTTTGACAGACAAACAAATTGCAGAAATCCAGAGTAGATTGATTTCGAAACACATACTCACCTTGCATAAAACCTTTGAATTAGGACATCTAATTTTCACTTCATACTTTTTACCGTCCAAAACAAATGTACCAGTTTTGTCTTTTTCATCTTTGGTGCATGTAACAGTTTGTCCACTGAAGTCTATATCAATATTACCACCGGGTTTGCAAGTGTACTAAAAGATTAAAAAACGAATTGTCTTTTTTTTATTCAAGACAATTGACTCACAAATAAAATAACTCTTTGAATAGTTAAGCCCTAACGTTTTATTGTATTGAATGATTCTGGGGGAAATGACTTAGATATTTTACTGAATGTTAATATAGTATTTACTGATAAGTCATGTAGAAATTTAATAACTTCGACTGTTGGCATTTAGACAACAAATAGTTTGTGTTGTTGAAATTTACAGTCTCCACAATCTCACAATAACAAACACACACACACACCCCTGACAGGTACCACTAGAAGCACACGACTAATCTTCACCGTTTGCTACAAATCGCTTGCAACCATCTAACATCAATCGAAAGTGCACTGTAGTGGTGAGTCATCTGACTTAAAGAATGACTATATTAGGAACTCGACCGATAGAATCTAGTCAATAACAACACCACCACAGATGAGGCGTATAACATCACTTAATCCCGCGTGACCAATTAATGCAGTTCCAGTGTACGAGGATGTACGTTAGATATAATATAATAATTATATCCAGTTGAAGAAACGGTGAAATAAATCTTTCCACGCCACTGAACTCACTTAAGGAGTTTCAGACTTAATGTAAAAGGATTTAGATTCACCTTCCAAGAAAAAGCATGCAAACAAATCGATGGTGTTGCAATGGGGAGTCGTCTTGGGCCCCTGTTAGTAGATATATTCACATCAAAATTGGAAAAACAACTGCAAGGTATGCTTGGAGAATTTATCCTACATAAACGTTATGTAGATGATACTCTCATTATGGGTAATAATAGTATATCTATTGAAAATTTTATTAGCCTATTTAATCACATTCATCCAAATATCCGAGTGACTTCCTAACTCGAATCGAATAACAAACTCAGTTTCCTCGATATTACAATGACCAGGAAGGATGATGGAACGATTCAGTGATCTATTTTTCGTAAACAAACATGGAGTGGACAATATCTTCATTTCACCAGTTTTGTTCCTATCCAGCATAAACGTTCCCCAGTGAAATGTTTGTTCTCAAGGGCCCGAAAAATATGCACGAGTGACACATTGATGGATGAGCTTCGACATGTACTTTCAGTTTTATTAGCTAATGGTTATCGAGAAAAAATTATCAATTGTCACGGTAAGGATAGACCATTTCTAGGAAAGAGAGCTTCTGTACCAAAGAAAGCTATCTTTATTAACCTACCATTCAAAGGTGACCAAATTATGCAGTCGACAGCTCAAAGACTTCAGTCAGCCATCAAACGCACATTCTACGCTGCATCTCTTTTTCTCACATGCCGAACATTTTCGATCCCTGTGCCTACGATTAAAGGACGAAATTCTGTGTACTCTACTTCAAACTGTATCTACAAGTTCACCTGCAGCTGCGGTGACACATATATAGGTAGAACCAACAGAATGTTTCAATGTCGTCGAAAAGAACATGTTCCAAAATGGCTACTAAAGCATATGGAAAATCCCAATGCGAGTAATCTGAGTAGAAATCCAGTATCATCCATTGCAAAACACTTATTAATGCCAGGTCACAAAATCAATATTAATGACTGTTTCACAATTATTTCACAAAACTCTAATTCAAGGTTATTGAAGGTGATGGGAAGCACTTTGGATTAATCACATACAGCCTAAACTGTGTGTACATAAAACAATAGACTTCAATCTTCGCCTACCATGGACCACATGACCTTTTAAATATGATTGGTCATCAGTATGTACTTTTGTTTTTATTTAACTGAGTAATCGTCATGACCTTTATTTTATTATTGTTGGCCTTGTTAGTTGTAAAGCGATTGTAAAGAAACTACGAAATGACCATATCATCTCGCGAAATTTGTCTTCTTAATGCCTTATTCAAATTTATCAAAAGGACTAATTGTTTTAAAAGTATTTAGTTAATTCAATTGTGAATTCAAAAACCAAGTCAAATAAAGAGAAAAAAAATTAAGTTGATTAAAGCAGTGAAGAAGCTTCACAACTCAGATAATGTGTATTCAGCATCTTTGTATTCCCTGAGCTAGGCGATTAAATTTTGAAGCTCTAATTACCCATCTGGACGGCATCTGCAACAGTAACTTTAAACTGAAGCAAAAAATGAAAGTCAGCAGTGCTTATTCAATATCAAATTATATATCACATTGTTTTCATGTGTCTAAGTATAACAACTACAGCACTGACAATGCTGCTCCACAATTCTCTTGTTTTAGCCTAAACGTATGTTTAAAAATCAACATATAGCATGACAATGAAGGTAAAAAATTTTGAACTCAGTCAACTGAGCTTTCAAATTTAGTAAACGTTAATCTTAGAATTCTACAAATTGAAGTGAAGGTACTTCTGCTGCTACCCAAATTGTGTCATTAAATCTAAAACTGGTTTTTCTAATTCTGTTTATCAATACGGATGATTTTTTCACATAGAATAATAGTATTAAACGCACGAATGCATACACTTACTTTGTGACAACTACCCTTTATTGTACCGTCTAAAGTCCATACAGAATATCCTTGTGAATATCTCCAAGTTCCAGTATGCTGCAGACAAATTGCTTTTCCAAATGACTGCAAAAATTTGTTTCCTTCTTTGTCTATAATACAAATGACACAGGTACACATATTAAGTGACACAATTTATGAAATAAACGTTAAACACAAATTAATTTCCTATGTTATTTATTTACCAGTGGAATTCACAACAGACATTCTGTACAATATGGTGTTCATCACATGCAAATTCACGCCGGAATCCCCCCAGTAAGTGTCAGAACTTCCACACTGAAACTGGAAGCCGAATACCATTGCTATGGACATTAAATCGTCATCTATACGATGAGTATCCAACTGTACAGGACAAATGATTTCGACTGTATGTGACTGATCAACATCAAACAAATAAATTCAGTTCAAATGAACTGTCGTCAAGATTTGACAGAATAGTTCTAAAATATTTGGGCGCTGAGTGAGAAGTAGACATTTGTAAAAAAATTATATTTGTAAAATCTCAGCGATATTGAAATGAGTAATTCCAACGTTTTCGTTCGGCAATCTGGTCCGAACTTCTTCAGGGAAATTAATCCAAATTAACATAACAGAGGTTTTATATATAAAAGGCACATCTTTTGTTTTTAAAAACTGTCCGATCATGATTCATAAAACAAGTATTAACCAGTATAGTAAACAAAATTGTATGAGCTGTGATCAAAATTTGACCTTGGACTTACAAATATTGGTCTACCTTTGTTAACCACTTTAAACAGAGTGTGCATGCGTGTGTGTGTAAACAGTTGTAAAACATTTCTTAACGTCTCCATAGGAAGATATAGACAGTCAGGAATTTGACCAAGTATTATTAATAATTAGTGATACATATCCATTTTTATTTATTAATCAGGATTTCCTAGGCATCAGCTAACATCAAACCTTCATTTCTGTTCAAACTGCTAGAATCTAGAATTTTATGATTAGACGTATTTTCAAAATTATGGTGTTTAGGATTAGAGTTTAGTTTAAGCACCCTGTCGAACTTATTGCATTGTCTTCTTTCTGAATATTGAGCTGCTTTATTCGACCTACTGGAGTTGTCAGGTGACTCGAAAGCTACGGATTTAGGATGTGCATTTTGTTCCAGACAATGGAGATTGAAAACACGATGATTGTGCCAATTACATAGTTTCTTTGTTAATTTAATTCGATAGCAAAATAATTCAAATGAACTGTCGTCAAGATTTGAGATTTTACAAATATAATTTTTTTACAAATTCAGTTCAGGTTAGAAATTAAGCCTTAAAAAAATAGGCAAAATCTCTTGTTGGTTTAGTATGTAACTGCAATAATGTGAAGAAATATGGCTAAAAATAATTGTAGAGTTTCAAGGAAACCATGTGAATAATTATTCGACCCAAACAGTATGAAGGTATTTGTGTTTTTCACTTTATAAAGAGAATGATTTCACTTAAAAGATTTTTCCTTCAGTCTACTGTTTTCTGAAAGGTGTCAGTTATTAAACTTCAAAGAATACAACCATATGTATAAAGTAATTCACGCAGTTTTTTATGCGATTCTGAAGTTGACAGATTCAGGGTTTTGGACAAGTTGATCACGGATTGATATCAGTTGGAGAACCACTGAAAACAAGCAGGGAGTACTAGACAACTGTTTCTTGCTATTTCGGGACTCATCGGCAGTATGCATCCACTGCCAGGGTTGGAACCCAGGACCTCCCGGTTACAAGGCAAGCTCAAGTACCATTCAGCCATTGCGACCCGATTCAATGGCCCATGAATTCTAGCTTCCACTGATTAGTGATTTTAGTGCAACCACCAGCTTGTGTTATCGGCGGGAACTCCAGCCTCACACTTGAATGGATGGACCTCACTAGTCACGACTTCTCACTAGAACTCCAGGAAACTCCATCCTGTAGCAAGTCACTAGCAGGCATTCAGATTTGTTCTATAACTTGTGGAAATCGGCTTTACACTTATCGGTAGAAATTTATCTACCAATGGTACTACCTATTTTAACACCGATTTAGAAACTTCTTCCGAAGTGAAAGTCACACCACTACACATTTTTGTAACTTTCATTCGATCAGCTATCAGCGAATCCTATTTCCTGTCTTTCAGCCTTTTCTTTAAAGAAACATTTTGAATGAAACTTAAAGATATTAGAAATTAATTGGAGGATGGTGACAAGCGTTGGGATCAAGGATGTGCATTTCGTCCTATTTTGGACTCGCCACCGGATGCACCTGCATTCCGCAGTGAGAGATGATGTTCCCACCGAAGCTTGAACCCTGTGCCCATAGTTTTAAACACCGTAGTGTTATCGACTAGACCACTTGGACCACAACAACCCCCTCTGTGCAACGGGTCATATTATTTATTAAATTTAATTCACTATTTTCCCCTCGATTGACTGAACCGAATTGCTCGGTCTCAAGTTGACATGTCGGCTTCTTGTGCAGATGCTCCAACAATTTCTGAGCATGTAATTAGGAGTTAATTGGTGTATCCAGCTGTCTAGTCCTAAATAATACGAAATGCGCACCCTGAATTCCACTGGTAGTCACCATCCTCCAGTCAACCTCTAATTGCATCCCTAGATATCGTCGAAGCATATGCACAAGAAGCCGACATGTCAATTGGAGACCGAGCACTTAGGTCCAGTCAGTCAATCGGATAATCTAAAATTAAATTAAGTAATTAAAGATAGTTACTTTACAATTATAAAGTATAATGGCGACAACAGACCTATTTAAATCATTGGGCCACTAAAATTTAATCTATTTCATATTGGTTTAATCATCTAAACACATGCATGAACGGCAGGAAAAAACACTGTACAGTAGTGAAAAATACTTAGGATGGGATAATATAGCTTCGGGAGGTGATATACTACTTTGACATTCTGCACAGGGAGCAAATACTTTGCGATGAAACATATCAAAAATGCTGTATTGTTTATGAATACAGTTTTCAGGATGAAACTATTATTGTTATTATTATCACCATCAATTTTGGATTTAGTTTAGAGAAGTATATATATATATTTATATGTGCGTCCGTGGCTCACCGACTATGCACATGGTCTGGAGTTCGAGCCCCGGCCGACTTACTCTCAAACCTCGCTAAGCCAGTAGTAAGACTGGTAAAGAGGGAAGGTTGGGCATGAGGCTAGTAACCACATCCTGTAAAAATAAGCACTGCTACGGAAACTTCAAGCCTCTAGCTTGAAGCCTTATGTTCTACTAGGAATGTAGTGGTTTGATCACTTGGAAATATACCTTCGCTTCCGTGTCTTGCCTTCTGATATTACACTGTTACTATTTCATAAGTCTTATTCACACTTATATTATATAATACTACATATATATATTAGTTTTATTTCAGCTTCTAAATGCAAATAAGTATAAAACATTATTGATGAAAAATTCTGAAGCATAAGTGCTTACCAAGTTTAGCATTATTTTCCGCATGTTTACAATATGATGTAATGTTTAGACTTCCAAGCGAACTTAAGAACTGGAAGAAAATAATCCAGGTAGAAATAATAAAATTATGATAAATTTATGCTAAATGTAAGGCAAAAATAAAATAGTTTTTCTGTGTGTGTGTGGTTGTTTCATTATAAAAAAAGGAAATGAAATTTTACTAGTTTTGAATTCAAAGACAAGCTGACGAAAATGTAACTGCACATCATCACATGGGACACAAACATACTCTTCTACATTATTCGTGGTAAGCAGAGTATCGTTGAAAAAATGAAGTTTTTCGCTGGTAAGTAAGCGATAGAAGCCGATATGAGCTTTGTGCTGTTTAGCAACATATGTCTCAGATATGCTACTGATTCGAGGATTGTCGGAATCAATTAGCTTACTACCCGATGATGCACTGTACATCAGTATAAAATATTCAGCGTAATTGATAATCAGTTAGATGAGTTTGCATGTATACGATTTTTACAAATATAAATGTTCATTTTATGAAGTTATTCTATGCATTTCTATGACGTCAAAGTGGCTGCCATGTACAGTATTCATTGATATGAATTACAGTATACAAGGGAAGGTTCGTTATAAAATGTCTGTATTATCAAAAATTCTAGGCAATTTATGTAGAGTTGGGTTTTTTAGCGATTCGATTTTCTAGTAAGATTGATGACGGAGTGATATCAGTAAGGGGAACTATTGAAAACCAGTAAGGAGTACTGGACAGGTGTTTCATCCTAGTGCTTGGGACTCATCGGCAGTACGCACCCTCCGGGATTAGAACCTAGGGCCTTCTTGCTGCAAAGCAAGTTCATAGACCAACCATTCAGCCATTGGTACCCAACTCAATGACCAGTCCATGAATTCCTAACATCTACGAATTCGTGGTTTTAGCCTCGTGCTAAAATTCAGCTCTTCTGATATATATGACATTCCAGTATGATTCAGGAAGTTTGCTTCTTTACTAGCTCAAAGAGTTTACTTATTTTATCTTGATAAATTATATATGTATATATTGAACTCATTATCAGCTGAAGCAGACCGAGAGAACCGAAAAGAATTTGAGTCATATAATATAGTAAATGAAACATAACAACATTTTCCCAGAAGAGTAGTCACAATTATATAGTCAGAAAGTATAATAAATATAGTACAAATATTGTGCTTTTGCTGTATTATTTCAAAATACTTCACATACCGATAATGTTGGACATTTATCTTTAAACACATTACTTCCTCCCAATCGGTTATAATCTCTACCTGCTTCAGGACCAAAAAATTGATCTGCAGGTGGCAGAGGTAGTGGGTATGGATACACATCACAAAGACCGTATGTATATAGATCTCTGCATGCAACAACATTCGGTTCATCACAATAGGGCTTAATACTTTCATGTCTATAATATTGAAAATAAGTAAAACAACGACAACAAAGAAAATGAAACGAATACACTGCTTCCTTTCTATGCAATCATTTATCACAAATTTTTATTAGACCTTTCTGATTAAGTTTGGAGCGCTGAATAAATCGAGTGAAAGAAACATTGTCACAAATCAGTCGAAACATTTAGATATTTGAACGATGCACTAAAAAAATTAACTGGGGAGCCTCGTGTGACAGCAATCTATTTCGTTGGTTTTGTTTTCTGATGGGCATAAACTAAAAGAAAGCTTGACATTAATGTGTAAAGCATTTGCGTGACTATTTAGAAAACGATAAACACTAATATAACATCCTTTAGTGTAGTTATATCGTTTCGTCTATCACATTTCTGTCGATGTATATCAAAATTTCCATGCTACACTTGATCCGATAATGTCAGTTTGTCAGTGGTTGGCTAAGTGTTTTACATTTACACAGTACAATATTTTCTCTCATTCTATGGAGTAAAATATATACTTAAGCTGATGAATGGTGTGATTTATCTTGTGATGGAGTTACTATGTGAATCCGTCATTTCTCATGTATATTGTGATTTATTGTGTGATCAGTTCAGCGTCTTTTGTCTCACTTTGGTCTTTACCAGATCGCCAACCAATGAGAACAGCAGTTACCAGCCAATTAGAACAATTCATTCTCACGGCTGTGAGCCGACTCTACTGTGGTAAATAAAACGCATAAATATTATTTGTTGTTGATCCTAAAGTATACAGTATCTTACAGTCACAGATCAGCCTTTGTCATTTGATATTTGCTTGACTCAGTGAACTGAATAGTACAACGGACAAATAGGCGTAGTAGCGTACCAGTCGAGTTCATTACCATCATCACAGTTAGCGGTGCAGATATAGCAAAGTGGTGACAGGGTTTATTCAGTTCACTGAAGTTATAAAAGAACCATAAATCACATTCGCAATCTGCAAATATTAGTTTGCAATGCACACAATTCCAGGTAAATTTGATCACAGTTTTCTCTGGAAATTGAGATGATTAAGATTACAACATATGATCTGCTTGATACTGCAAGCAATAATCAGGAAGCCAAGAATAACTGCATAAAATTTAAATACTGTAGGCTGATTGACACGAGTAGTTACACACCATTCACATTAAACAGTAGTGCAAAGTGACGTAAACACTGGATGGCCTCAAAACAGCCTGGTGGCCGTTTGATTTCCAGAGAAACGTAGTCTGAAATTTCATCTCGAACTATGCAGACTGCATAAATTAGTTGTCAGTCATCTCAAACTGCTTTTTGTGAAAATTTCAGATTATTTAATAGTCCCACCTCAAAGCAAATCAGTAAGCATACCGAAAAGTTACACCGCTAATTTAATATATATCAAATTCAAGGCGATACTTCACAAAGTTTAATCAAAAATGATTTCAGTAGAAACATTTTACACCTGTGACTTTTATGTAGAAATTCTCCGAAAAACACATACATAGTATGTATCGCCTAAGTTTCGATTTACTTTCCGTTTTTAAGTTAAGACTTCGTGTGGCGCACGACTAACGAAAAGTTGACAAGTGAGATTTTTAAATTGAATACCTTGACGTTTTTCGATGGTATGTATTCACAAAACAGCTGCCTATAGTTTTGTCTTCCTTCGACTTTGCGGCGTTTCTTGGTCAACACAGTATGGAGATTGAATTGAATGATTTGTTTTGCGAGCAACATCCATCGCAAAAATTTTAAACTTAAGACTTACAGGGACATTTTTTAGAAATATCTTCCTCATGTGAATCATTCGACCTTGGATTTATTATTGTTTTGGGCTAATTTGATTTCTGTGTTATCCGTGAACAGTGTATGATGTAATAAACAGGCGAAATGTTTAATTTACCTACCTTTTTCTTTTCTGGGAAGCGAAATGGTAACAGCTGCCTAAAGCAAATCCACAGCCATATCCCTTAGCATAATTCCATTTGTCTGCCAATTTAAAGTTTACGGTGTACCACCTAGAAGTATAATAAAATAAACCGGATTCGAATGATAGTTTTTAAGAATGGTAAATATAAAACTATACGCCCAAGAAATAATACAGAAAACTTGAAATAATCAGTAATAACTGTTCACGGCTTCTTCTTCTTCCAGTTGATATTCGGAAATCACCAATGTGGATGTAGAAGTATCACGAGCTGAGGAGAACGTTCATCTGAAGTAACGTGATGGATGACGCTTGAAGATGTTGAGCTTCAATATTATTAAAGGATAGAAGAAGAGACACTTAGTATTTGGCATTGCTATCTATGGAAATTTTGTACACCTTATCTTGAAATCACCATTTGCACAGATCTTGCGTGTTAAGCTACTTTTGGCCTTCATATTGTGTTTCTTTGTGTTCCTTTCACGTCTCCCATGTATCTCCACAACTCTGAATCGTTTACTTTCTCTTACATCATATTTATTATCCCTGCTGTTCGATGCTTTTATGCTGACAATCGTCTCTTTATATACTACTGAAAAATCCTATCAGTAGCACACGCCATACTATTATGAGTACTATAACTCAATGAAATGCAGTTATAGCTAATTCATAAGTCTGAAAAAAACACTGAAGTGCTCCATATGGTTTCCAATCCCAGATGCTACCAAACAGCCAACATGAAAACTAAATTCGCTTCATGTTTTTTGGACGGCTTATTTTCACAAAAGTTCAATTTTCATAATTTCAGTATCGGATGATTTTACACACAGATGGTTTAATGTTGCTATAGAATGAGCCATTAATTTTCCTAATTATGACTTTAAACTGTTGTGCTGTGCTGTTAAATCTTTCCATTTTAAATAAATGGATATTCTTAACCTGATAGAATTTATATATGCTACAATACAGTGGACAGTTCCGGAGCTTGATAAAATCAAGGCAAATGTTTTCTAGACACTCCCTGGAAGCATAAGTGTGCCAGTGTTTGATTCTGACTACTGTGATGAAATAGCACGCTTATGCGTAGAATTGCAGCTGAAGAATCTAAGAAGTTTGAAATTATTTTCGGTCCGAGAAATGTCTCAAAAATGTTGTACGACAGTTTTATGACAGAACCATGAATTTCACTATTTGATGTGGGTATTTATGGATAGATTCCTTATTTCCCTGGGCTGTAGTATTTCAGAAAAGTGTCTACAAAATGGTCGTTTCAGCAGACAGCCAATCGTTTGATCAGCATTCAAAAATTGATAGGAGTAAACTAAGCTCTTAAGGACAATCTATGAACCATTCACATGTCTTAAAACTGAGAGGAAAATGGCCGCAAATACTTTCTGTCCCAAACATTTCCATAAATTTATCTGGGAAAATACTACTGATTACAATGTCAATAGAAAGTGTGATCACCAAATAACAACATAGCATCAGAAGTCTAGAAAAACAGGCATGTACTGACTCTTGCACAGAATAAATGTAAGTCAGTAAAACTATTCTTAAAATTTCAGGATCATGTCTAATATCTTTTAAAACAGAAAACCCCATTAAAAACGATTAGTGTTTCTACAATAAAACTAATCAAAAGCCTTTAAACCACGCGTTTCCAGGAGCATAATCTATGACTTTTAACAAGAATAATTCATAGGGATTATAAGTGTTTATGCTAATAAACATTACTACTAAGCAGTTACTTTAGGACGAACATTTTACAGAGTGAGGGACACTAATGTAGACCACATACTTTATAATTTGTTTCCCTTTCAATTAACTAGTTTTGAAAATAACCTGACTCAAGTTAGATCTTGAAATGATATTGTTTAAACTACAACGGAACAGCTGTTTTGTCGTAGTTCCACACCTTCCAACAGTCCTCATCCAGGACGTTTAGGTTATGCGACCAACTCCCTCCCATATAGTCAGTGGATAGAAGCTGGACAGATCTATGAATGGATAGAGGATTTCATCATGAGCTGAAATTGGTTAGAGAACCATTTGGAAAACTTGGGAGTACTGGACAGCTCTTTCGCCCTAGTTTGGGACTCTTCACCAATAGGCACCCATGATGAAATCCTGTAACCAATCAACCAAATCCCTACAAACAAATACTTGAAGGTCTGTGAATGGTTACTTCTGTTAACTTGCGATATATGTAGCAACTACAAGTCAATGCAGTTGGCGAGTATTTGTCTCGATTCCCGACCTGGTGGAGCCCACTGATCTGAACTTATAATCAGGGTTTCAGTGGTTCTCTGATATCTGAACTGATGTCAGTTAATGATTAGACTTGAAATCAGTTAAATTCATGCAAACCAACACTTGGGAATTAAACCATGATAGTTAAATTCCCAAAATGTGCCGTCACACTGAAGCATCAGAATTAATGCAAAGTTTCCAAGATAATGAAAAAACTAAAAACTCTACCAGTGATAAAATATCCTGAAAATACGTAAATATAAAGCCTAAACAAAATGCAGAAGAGGATTCGATGCATTTAATTGGGTAAACATTGATGAAATGTCACTAACTGAAGTGAATCTGCAGCACAGTTAATAATTCAGATTTCAACATATTGTAAGATATGTAGTCGAGGAAAGCGTTTAGTCTACAAAGATCTTGTTTCAACTTACCCTGAATCCACAAAATATGCAAGTGTTACTCTTGATGCAAAGGCTTCCACTTCGGAGGAAGCAGCCATCAGCTCCATCTAAAGGTAGATTATTATTGAAGAAATCAGGTTTCCAAAGTGAATTATGAACACATGCAATAACTTGATGACATAATAATATCAAAAACATTCAAAAGTATATAATAGGGACACATAAAATCAAGCGGTGCAATAAAGTTACAATACCAAGCATGAAAGTAATAGGCAAAGGTTATTCTTAACCTGTAAATTTTACATTTTTCTGGCTCTAAAGTCGAAACATTCTCAATGAACTATATGATGACAAGTATGGGATTTATGCTGAACACAGTAATTTAATTTCATTAGTTGTGGGTAGATTACTGGGATTATTATTACTGTCGTTTCCTTTAATTCTTAGTGGAACATAGGGCTTCAGTCGAACGTCTCCAATGCGTTCGTTTCTCTGTCAATGTTTTCACCTGGTTCCACGTCTGCCCACATGTTTTAATCTCCTCTTCGCATGACCTCCTATAGGTCACCCTCGCCCAGACTACCTACCCGTCGCTTCCCACTCGGCTTCCACTCGAGCGATAGCCTGGCGTGTGATTTCACTTGATGGTTTTCTCAGAATATGACCAATCCAACTCCATTTCTTCCTGATTACCAACAAATGTCTGAATACATTGGACACACATTGTTAAAGAGATTTTTCCTTATCAAAGACGTCATTATGAAAGTCTGTTCAAGTGTACTCATATTTATCAATAAGTAAAGCAGTACATAAATGAGTAATTGAAGGTTTTTGTGATTTAACTGATACAACTGCTCAGAAGTGGTTTCTAAAGGTCAAATCTGGATAAGGTGGAATTTCTTAAATAAATGAGAAGCGAGGTAATTGACAGTTCACTTGACCAGTGTATAGAACTTGCGGGAAAATGTAATAGTCGATTAATTACATAAAAATAGAAGCGAGCTACTAGGAAGGAGTTTAGGAGTTCAAATTTTTCAGTTAAAAAATCTATCCTTCTTGTTCGCAATATTTATAGTATCATTCTTATGCGATCTTTTATACGTTTTACTGTTTGTCGTTTCGTTTTCTTCACACTTATCAAGTGGACACTCAACGATTATTAAATCTCAGGCCCTTGCTTTTATTGTGTTGATGGCTATTATATGATTTCTCATTGATTTTAGGAACCACCTTCAAGTAATACTGTCAACTGCATCACGCTCAATATCCCCCTATTACAGACTACTATAAGTTTTTGGCAAACATAACTACGATTTTGCAAAGTTTCTAGACAACTTCGTCCTTGAATTGTCCTTCGTTTTCTTCATGACGAAATTTTCCCTAAACATGACACAGCTATGTTTGATTGGACACTAGTCAGTAACTAGTGTAATGTGTCTAGTCCTATCTATGGTGCAGGGTGGTTTCTATCAGTCAAGCTTGTAATGTGGCAAGCGTCGATTAGACAGATTACACTAGTTACTGAAGAGTTTCCAAACAGAAATGTCCAATACAGCCCTACAGGAGGTCAGTGGCGAGCCTGAATAGCTCAGTGGTAACGTCTAGGACTGCAGCACTGGCTGACGCGAGTTCGAATCTCAGAAGGGACATGATTTCTTTCGAGGCTGCACAGATACGCCTTGCTGATGAGTGCCAACTAGCCCGAGACCTAGTTCATGTAAGGCTTCCTGTGGCCTACTGCCTCCAACCATATAATACTGACAATGACACAGCTATTTTGTTAGACGAGTTAGGAAGTACCACTCAATTTCAGCCATCATGTAAATAACATTTAGGATAAAATCTATTGTTCCATACCGAATATACTCTGCCTTCTAAATGTGAGCCATAGGAACCGGAAGAGCCTTCGTTTTCCAAATCAACACCATCCACAGATTGACACTGAAAATGACTCTTTGCTTCTTTCTAAAATACAAGTAAATACAAATAAAATTTTGAAGTCTGTTAATTTATATTTTTATCACGGAAAAAAGCATACGGCTAATAACGCATCTATATCTAACTATCAAGAGGTGAAATACACTGGGAGAACTTTTAAAGACGGCAAATCACATACAGATTTCCCTGTAAGATTTATTTTAGAACAATATTGTTTTCAGTTAGATCTTCTTCAGAAGATCAAGCGCATTTTATTTATATGATGAACATCAAAGTGTGAGAAAATCAGACCAGATCTCTCATAACAGGCTCTAGTTTCGACATTGGTGACTTCAGATACCCCTGAAGTTAGCCTTAGTTGCGCTTATATGACGAGGTATGCGTGGAAATGTTTAACCGAAAAATGAATGGCCGTAAGAGGTGATGGATGTCAGAAATCATGAACCGCTTCAAAATAGGTTACTTATGCTTTCCGTGAGCCAGTCATTCTCAGGTATGAATTAGGATAATAACAATGGCTGCATTGTAAACGCTACTTTTGAAATTTTCAGCATGTAATGCAATATTGAATCTACTTTCCTATTTACATTACATAGTATGGACAGAAATCATTTGACAGGGCATTGACACTGATCATATTGTTAAATAAGAATACGAATGTAAAATTACAATTTTATTGAAGATATTTACCACAGAATATTCATGAAAGTATAAGAAAAGGGTAGTTTTACTTGATATTTTGCAGTAAGTTAGTGGTCTCACGCCTTACACTTTTCTCATTACGTAAAATGCTTACCAAATAAGGTGCCTTTACACTTAGTCGTACGAGCATAAGTTCTTTTTAGGGGTGGTTATAGTCCTACTTGATGAGATATAAGGAGAGAGATGCGTGTTCAGAGCTCGACAGAATCCTTTCCGTTAATCTCTTAAATGAGTTCTAATATCTGATAAAAGCTTTTCATTTTGGAACAGTCTGGTTGAGAAGTAACTGGCATGAAAACAGTCAGACCATCTGCATACTCAACAAAATTGATTTCATCAAAATGAGGGAAGTCATTAAGGAAGAAATAAAACAGAAAAGGAGAAAAAACGGCACCCTAAAGAAAACCGTATAGAGCAAGTAAAAACGGTAGAAAACTTCCGATTATATTCAGTTTACCGCTTCCTATCAGAAAAGTAAGAATGCGACCACCTATTAGTCCAGCACTGTGCATGTGACGCAGCAAGCTTGTTTAACAAAAGAAGCCTAGGTACAGAGTTGAAGATAGATGTGTAATCTAGGAAGGCACACCGAATATATTGGACAACTCTGTCTTAACTATGGACAATATTATGATATAAGACGACAATAGCATCTAACGTACACCTAATATCTTTTTAAGCAAATCGGTTTGGGTATTTGAAAGCCTTCAATGAAGTTTCAAGGTTAAGTAAAAGCAGTTTTCCCATTCTTTTTAAAAATGGTGAGGTAATAGCAAAAGGTATAAGCTTAACGCTTAATCCACTTGATGATTTAGAGACAGGAACATGGGGCTTAAACAGCACATCTCCATTTCATTCTTTTATCTTCTGTCCTCCTTAGCTAGATCGATGACTACCCATAAATTTTCATTTCCTCCTCACACGATCTCCTCCATATCACTCTCGAGTGTCCATCTCATCGTTTTCGATTCAAATTGCTCTGAGAGGCTTGTTTGGGGTTTGATGTTACCCAATGGTCTCCTCAGGTTGTATCCTATCCACCTCTATTGACTTCGTTACACTTGTTGTTGTCATTCGATCACTTCGAATTATGTGTATTTACATGATGAAGAGACTCAAATCAAACCATAGCAGTTTTTTTATTCCTTCACGTTCCCCAGTGGAACATAGGGATTCAAGCTAGTGACTTGAAGTTTCTGTAGCTGTGTTTATTTTACGGGATGAGGTTGCTAGCCTGATGCTCAACCTTTCCTCTTCACTAGCATTATTTCTGGCTTAGTGAGGTCAAGGAGTGCGTCGGCCGTGGATCGAACCCCGGACCATGTGTATGGTCGGCGAGCGTCCTAACCGCTATGCCACCGACTCACAGATAAACCGTAGCAGTATTCTGGGCTATATGTCAATTAATGTAAGTGTTGGTTTGAAGGGAAGTGATGTGTTACAGGATTTCATCATGGGTTGATATCGGTTAGAGAACCATTGGGGAACTTAGGGGTACTGTGGATAGCTGCCACTTTCTACTTTGAGACTCTTAAGCAGTATGCAGTACGGGCACAGGACCTTGCGGTTACAAGACGAGCTCATAGACAATTTAGCCATCAGGACCTGATCCAATGGTCTATGGATTCCAACTTATGTCAATTCACGATAAAGCGCGACTTCTGGCCAGTATCATCGGCGAGTATTTGTTCTCACACCAGAGATTCATAAACCTAAAGTATGGTCGGACAAAAACGGTTTATCGAAGTATATTATAAAACTTTATCTGTAAGAAATGTAATACTTTGCTAAAAAAATAAGAAGTGGCATCAATGAATGCAGTTTATGGTGAATATTTCGGAAAATCTTATATAAGTCTGTGAGTAAAAAGTTCCTACATTGCGTCTAACTTACAATAATGTTTTCTGTAACAAGTGCAGGGAATGTCTTGTTAAATGTCCCAGCTGCACTAACCCATTTGCGTGTTATTTGTTTAACTGTTGTTTTACTTTCATAAAAAAAGAAGAGAATACATACGTGTAAGTGATTATTTATTGATAACAAAACTCAGATGAATTTGTTTAACAAGTGTGACATTTTGCATTTTACTATCTTAGGAAAAAAAACCTATTTGGTTGTTATCAGGCTTCACTTGTCAGCCGAAAGTCAGAGAACAGAAAACAGGCAGTAACAGTCTGATCGTTATAGTTGAATTCAAGAATGAGGTTTCAATTCTTATATACAGCGCATGAATATGTGGTTCTGTGGTAGAATGCTAGCCAACCACTCAGTTAGTTCTGATCCGATTCCCAGCTGACACATACCCAAAACGTGCCTAGTCGGTAATGGGCCTGGAAACGATTGAGGGTTGGACGCAAAGTTAGCAGCGTCACTCCTTACAAAACAACAATATCGCTACTGAAACTTTAATGCTTTAAGCTTTGATGCAGGAAGAGAAGTAGAAATGTAATGGAAAAATATAGTCGCTGATAGGAATCAAACTGTTCTCGATTACAGCGCAAGTACTAGTACAATAAGGATATAAAGACGGCCATGTTTTCACAGCCTTATATGATTCATCATGACCATTCTTAGAATTTGAATCCGTGCTTGCTGACGGTCCAGAAGATTTTGAATTTCGAATGTCCAATTTACACCAAATAGTGTACATGAATATTAAGAAATCGATATGCCTAATTTACACTTAAGCCTACTGGTGATTAGTAAACGGTTGTCCGCTGCTGTAGTCTCGTTAGTAGCCAGTCTCATTAGCAGTGTTCCAAGAATGATTTAATGCATATTGCCAAATAAGTATACATCATATATCACTTCTAGCTAACTGCTTTGGTTAATTGGCAAGGCATAGAGTACAGTTCACTCACTATTTGCAAGTAACATAGTTACAGTTTACCTATTAACTGATTTTAAAATTTACCTTGGCACGAATATTCCAAATTGATCCATGGTTGGTGGTCTTTTTGTGCGTGGATCTCTTGGGGTTCTAGGACTTCCGTCAGGTTTACGCATGAATGCAAAATTTTGTCGTGAAAATCCCTTTATATTTCACAGAACAGGAACAACAGAAAATAAAAACAAGTAAACGCTTCTCTGATAATGTAAACACATTTTTATATCAATGATCAAATGAAATAAAAATGTCATTAGTACTTTTTTGAACATTAGCAACTATGTAATATTCAAGCAAAAATTAAGTAAAAGTCATGAAGTTAACTGTAAACTGATACTGTGTCCATCTGGGGTTGTAATGTAGTGAGCGGTTATTGAAAACTGACTGGTAATCAAATTTTTATTTCGCACTGGATCATTACCTATGATAACTTAATTAGTAGTAGTAGTCTGTCAGTCAAAGACTCCATAAGATAGTCTCACCATCAGTTGCACTGGATTCGACGAAACTCATATTTCAAATGTGTGTAAAACTTGGGCACTGTTGTAGTGTGTAATTCCATGTTAGAGGGAGGATTTCATCATGACCTGACATCGGTTAGAGAACCATTGGAAAACCAACCAGGGATTACTGGACTGCTGTTTCGTCAGCTTAGTTTGGGACTCACTCTTCAGTAGTACGCACCCACCACTAGGGCTTGAACCCAGAGCCTTCTGGTTACAAGGCGAGATGGCTCGTAGACCATTAAGCCAGTGGAATTCGATCCACTGGCCGAATATGATGCTCACTAATGACTGATTCTATTCAAGCAGTTACCTGGGGATCTAGGGTACAGCAGGTTGAAGGCGAGGCAGTAACTCATCGAAGAGGGCATTGCGAAATGGAGGCGTTCTGTCATGAACTGGCAGAAGTTGGAATTCATGGGCTGGCCATTGGATCGGGTCCCATTGACCTAATGGTCCACGGGCTTGCCCTGTAACCAGAAGTTCCTGGGTTTAAACTTCACGTGGTTGGTGCCTATTGGGGAAGAGCCCCAAACTGGACTGACGAAACAGCAGTCCAGTACTCTCTGTTGGGCTTTCAAATGGTTCTCCAACTGATGTCAGCTCATGATAAAATCCTCCAATCAATCAAAGAAAATCCTTGCAAGACGAATACTTGAAAATTCAATAATAATTTGTTTATTAGATATAGCACACAATGAGACAGTATCATTTACCGGATGGCATTTTGAACAATAGAATGTTTTCGAAACGTCATCCGATAAATATTTAAATGTTTCACCTGTAGCTCATAATGAATTATTTGAAAACGTATGATTGTATGAACCAGTTTCCTCTGTTTCAACTGTATAGCATCATAGCATATCCATCAAATGATTAATTTTGTGGAGTACTCAAGATCGACTGGAAACACAGAAAACTATACGAAAAATGAAGCTTTACTTTTATGTTTATAGGATCATAAATCCTCACCGAGTTTTCGTTTCATTTTTCTTCTAATTATTTTATTCCTCCGTGTTCCGCGGTAGGATACAAAACTTCAAGCATGAGCTTTAAAGTTCCAGTAACAGTTATGTTTGTTTTTTACGAGGTGGAGTTACCAGTCACATGCTCATCCTTTCCTCTCTATAGGTCCATCAGCAGATAAGCGAGGTCTGGCGATTGAATCCCCGACCAAATGCGGGTTTGGCGGGTATTCTACCATTGAACCTAAGATATTTCACTTCATTCACAGCCCCTTTAATCAGATAAACAGTGGTCGAGAGCAACCTGAGAGTAAGCTAATTTGATCACATAAGATCAGTGCTTACCATCGTCCCCCGTTGCTTCTGTGATATCATCAGTTAATATGAGGTTGTTAATCATTTACTATATGCGAAAATATCGATATCTATTTCAAACGATTCTACTTGCTACTTTCGTCAGGTTCAGGGAAAAAATTCAATTTTATGAGCTTCTTGAAAACTTCTGCACCAACTTTTTCACGCAAATTATCACGAAGAATTATCCTAGGTGAAATTTTAAACTATATTCTTGGATAATGCATATGCAGGTTATATTTAAGAAAAAATTGAAACATACGAGAGCATGAGCAATCTCATGTCTGGCTGTATCATACAAAGACCTTGACTGCGGATAATCCAGTACAGTTTTTGCAGGACAGAAATTTACAAAACCTGCAACCGGTCTGAAATATACAAAAGAAATTAAGAAAACGAATACATTAAAAAATAGATTTTTATACACACACACTTTCATAAATTTAATAAGCCTGTATAAAAGTAACATTATTCAAATGCTAATAGGAAATGTTTTTAATTTTGAAATAAAAACTCCTTTTTAGAGAAAACACTTTTCGTATTTAACCATACTCTTACCTATCTGTTACCGGATCCATTTGACATGCGCTAGCGTAAGCATTGGTACTTGGATAAATGCAGCTTCCTGTATTCTGACTGTCGACAAACAGCAAATAACCATGTGCTTCTAATCCTTCACCCTTCTGGTAAACTGTCGTCAATTCGTTTCTATTATTCATTTTCAGACACTCCTTTAAAGGCAATAACATAAAGCATTCGATAGAGTTATGGAATCTTTTTAAATATGTCTTGCAGCCTAGACTTTATTCATAGATCTTCTCCTTTCAGTCGGTTGTCAAGTCAACATTTAAGTTAGACAACTATCCATTTGCTCAGTGTAAGAAGATTATGCTTGGATTTTATACTTAGTACTCACGTTGCCTGTATAATTTTTTTTGTCGCATTGAATAACTACTAGGTGAAATTGAGCTTCGTAAATGTCATCTAAATAAATCTTAACCATGCTTGACTGCTTTAAATCTCGTAGAAAGGAAAATAGTTTTCAGATTTTTAAAGTTGACTGTTTTTAACATGAGAAGTGCGAATAACAGACGGGAAGTATGATCTTTTTGTTGACCTATTCTGCTAATTTTTTTATTTAATTTTATTCCACTGCGTTCCCAGTGAAAAACAGGGTTTGAAGCTAAAGCGTTGGAGTTTCAGTAGCAGTGGTATTTATTTTTTTATGGGATACGGTTGCTAGCCTCATGCTCAACCTTCCCCCTATTTACTAGTCTCATAACCGGCTTAACGAGGTAAAGGAGTCAGTTGGCCAGGGATCGGATCATGAACTACATGCAATGTGGTTGGCGCGCATTCCACCATTGTGTCGACGACGCATTTTGCTAGATGTTAACATGTTATTCAGTTTAATAGGCAGCACATTCAGTTCACCGAGTCATTTAAGAGGATCGAAAAATTTGTGCATTTATAACAATTATTCATTGCATAAATAACTTACAGTCAAATATTGAGTTGGTATTTTAAAATCACCGCATTTTTCAGTTTGACGACATTGTGTTTGCCAGCAAAAAATCGTACCATTTACAAGCTGATTATACGTCCCACCATCACAGAACCTAAATAATTATGAGGTAGGCTAATGAATTTACAAAATGGCTTTGAATATATATATATATATATAGTACAACCTATACTACTGAACTATCCTGCTTCTAAATCGTAATTCCGTAGTGCTTCCTACAGACTGTAAATATATATCTATGCAGTAAACAGTATAGGAATTTTGTATACAGTACGAATTTTTTGGGTGGTATACAATTATTAATTATTTTTAAGGTATTCTTTAACTCAGTATAACTTCAGTATGAAATAGCATGTTCACCTAAGTGACAGGGTATACATATATATATATATATATGATATTAAACACTATTCCGAACAATAATGATCATACACAATGGAAACTTTCAACATTACGTAACCAGATGAAAGAGAGGTAACTGGATATTTTACAATTACGTATACATATTTTTCAACGGGAGGGATTTGAAAGAGGTTACTTCATTCACTTATCTAGGGAGCATTGTCTCAACTACAGGCGGAACGGACGAGGATGTCAAATCGAGAATCGGGAAGGCGAGTAACACATTCATCAACCTGAAACCAATCTGGAAATCTTCGTCACTCAGCCTGCATCAACAACAAAATTCGGATTTTCAATACAAACGTCAAGTCAGCCAGTTTTGCTATACGGATGAGAAACTCGGCGGGTCACAAAGAATATTTCCAACAGCCTGTTGCAGACATTTATCAACAACTGTCTTCGTTCTATACTAAAGATCAGATGACCGGAAAGAATCAAAAACAAGAAGCTATGGGAACAAACAAAACAAGAACCATTCGCTCAAAAAATATGCAGAAGAAAGTGGAGATGGATTGGACACTCACTGAGGAGGCCGTTGGGTGACATCGCGCGTCAGGCCAACGCTCGAATGGAACCCGAAAAGGAAGCGGCGAGTGGGACGTCGGTGCAAGGGTGACATGGAGGAGATCGTGTGAAGAGGAACTGAAACAGTATGGATTAACATGGATGCAAGTGAAAAATGCAGCAGAAGACAGAAGCAAGTGGAGGCGTGTAGTTGAAGCTCTATGTTCCACTAGGAACCCAAGGGAACAACAATATTTTACATATTTTATATTACATTTTAGTATGACTTCACTATCAAACACTGTTCAAGTTTCGTATACGACGCATCCTGTTAAAGGAAGTTATTGCAACTCACGACTTCTCAATAAACATAATTCAATGGGGAGTTTTAGAAAAAACAAGCATCATAAATCACAATAAAATCACTAACCTTTGAACAAGAATTTTACCATTTGAAGTGTCTTTAACTGTTAAAGTCTTTTGCCAGAAATCAATAGCACGTTGAATTATTTTTGCCTACGGAATAAATACATTTTTATATAATTGACAGTTTGCAACAGAATATCAGAAATAGCGTCATCAACTTCTTTAAACTGGGGGGTTCATTCATGTCTGTAAAAATGTTCGACCAATGGCTTTCAAGTGAACCAAGTGAATCGATGAGTTAAAATCTCACTGTTAGATAGAATAGTCCTTAAATCCTACATTGTTAACATTCATTTCCTTATACTGTTTAATCGGAACACTATGGTCTGGTCATAGAATATGCAAAATTTCATTAACATATGTAAGACTTTCCATGCAGTCAATAAAGTTTTCATATATCTTAACGTATGAGAAATCATCCTTCATAACACTGAAATTCATTTCACTAGAGCTAAGGCTCACCTAGCTAACATGAGAATAAGTTGTTTCGTTTAGTAATGTGACGTTTAATGACAGTGTGAAGAAATACTCCTCACTGTAAAGGACAGTGAATACTGGAAAGCAGATGCTCTGCGTATAACAGAAGTGTTACACCTCTCCAAGATGCTCTGTCTTACATTCTATAAAACATGTTTTGTATGTTGGATTTAGAATTACCTAATTCTAGGAATCATATTTTTACTCGCATACTCGCATGATTATTATCTGATATCATATTTTTTAGAGATTATCATGATTTCATAGTGAAATGACTGAAACTCACCTTTATTATACTACTATTTTTCAGTCGATTAAAATTATCTGTATATACTACAGTAAATTTGAGTGCCGCAGGACTTGAGCGCTTCTCCACACGAGATGATTCATCTCTCACAGCATATCCCTATTTATTATGAATAAAAAAAATAGGTATGAAGTTGAAGTGTGGAAAATTACCATCTTGTTATGTGGTGAAGGTCCACAGGCAGTATCATAGCCTTGGAAGAAGTACAAAAATATCAGAGAGAATGATAGAAGGATGGTGTACATGATGTTGATATGATGTTGTATGCAAGCGTATCATGCGTTTATATACCATTTTTTTAACAGCAGAATCAATTTCTATAATTTCAGCCGTTTTTTAACCATGAAAACAAAATAGATCTCATTAATGGAACAAAAAACAGCAACAACAACAACAAAATATTTATTAAATGAACTGGAAATCTTCTAATTTCTTTTTGACTCGAAATTTTGTAACAAAATACAGGTGAGTAACGAGGTAAAAAGAAATTGGTTCGACACAATTTAAAAGCAAAAAAACAACAGAAGTTTCCAAAATAAGATGGAAATTAAGATCATGAAAATCTCAACCTAAAATTAATCTTCTCAGATTTCTTAAGAATTAAATGAAAATGTGTATATGGTAGTTTAATTAACTAACTAACTCACTAACTCCAGACATTTCGTGTTCATACAACCATATATTTAACATCCTGCTAATTATGTGAAACTAGTTCATTCTCAACATAAATTGTAAAGAAGTTAAGCTAAGTTAATAGTTCTAGGTGTCATCAAACTGGGAAATCATAATTCTCATTAAGTTGTTTAAATTTCTAAACAACTATTATCTCTTGGATATCAATGAGGTGCTCACTAGCGACCGGCCCTATTCAGCTAGGTAGTTACCTGGGGTTCTAGTGGGAAGCCATGACCAGTAGGATACAAGGGGTCGGGTATGAGGGTAAATAATCACCTAAGACAATGGCTGGCGATCACGTTTTGTCGTGAATTGGCAGAAGTGAGAATTCATGGGCCACTATATTGGATCCCAGTGGCTGAATGGTTTACGAGCTCGCTGGCCTTGTAACCAGAAGGTCCTAGGTTCGAACCGTGGGGGTGGGTGCGTATTGCTGAAGGGTTAGTCCCAAACTAGGCTGACGAAACAGCTGTCGAATACTCCCTGGTGGGTTTTCCAATGGTTCTCTAACCGATGTAAGGTCATGATAAAATCCTGTAACCAATTATTACAGCCATTTTAGCATATCTCATGTAAATAAGTGAAAGTCTTATAATGATTAGACCTAACAGATAGTTTTGACACCATTATTGTCAATAGACATGACTACATAGGACATTTCAAGTTTCAAAAATCAGTAATCGTGAGGATTTGTGTGAACCTACGGAAAGTTATTTCGCTAAGATATTAAAGGTATATCAGAAAAAGGAAATCCAGTTAAGAGGCATATATCCGAAGTTAGAAAGCTTTGTGGAAATCACACAACTAGTCTTTTTGGCTGACTAAAGATCCTTGAACTGGCTATTCCTCTGCCTTCTGTTCTGTACTTGTCAAATTAACTATTTTATCAAATTAAATGAAAATGGCCTAACTGGAAAGTGTACACTGGTAGTTAGTCAAACATATAACCAAAGGTGCGTTTACATTTGTCAACATCAA